ATTGCTCAGTGGGGAAAGACATGTGGGGTCTGGTGATGTGCTAATCGTTTAAAAAAAAAGAAAAAATATATATCTAGATCCTCCCCTCAAAAAAGGGGACCCACAAGCTGTTTGAACCACTAGGTTCTTTTATTTGCATCTAAGTAAACGCCGAATGGTACCAGCCCGACTTTGGGGACACGGGAAGCTGGCGGTGGCTGCTCCCACTCTGGCGGCCCTGTTGCAGAAGCTAGCAAGCTGTGGGCTGCAAATGCAGACCCTTGGGCCTTCATGCAAATGTGTTTGTATTTGTGGGTTTCCTCTGGGCCGGCAGCAGAAGGCTTTTCTGGGTGGCTACGGGGAGCTCCCGACGTCTCTGTGGGGTGATGGGAGGAGGTGGGGCCAGCACAGTCTGTCTTGGACAGGGAGGGGCCAGGCTGGAAGTGCAGAGACTGGAAGGCCTGGCCCAGAGGCAGGGGCAAGAGGGTGGGAGCCTGGCCCCTGGACATGGAGAAGAATGAGGAAGGAAATACAGCTTTAGGTATCTCTGGATTCCAATTCCGGTGTAGCCAAAAGACCTTGGCACATCGCCAGATCATTTTAAGCCTCAGTTTCCTCATCTGTCAAACGGGGGCGAGGCAGAGAGATGAGAGACGTAACCGCATCACATTACTGTTGACCCCAGCTCTGCCAGGGAGGAGTCCGGTCTAAGTTCTGGGCTCTCTCAGGAGCCCTTGCCTAGGTGGGGAAGAGAAGGGGGCTGTGGTGCAGGGAGGTGAGGAAATGCAGAGCAAGGGGGCCGCTGCTGCATCCAGCGTGCAGGTGAGGAGCCGGCTCCATGGGAGTGGCAGTGACGGTGCGGAGGCAGGCAGTCCTCCTGCCTCACTGGATGCCACGTCAGCTCTGCTCCCCCTACCCTGTGAGTCCCATGCTGCTCCTTCCCGTCCCCTCCCTGTCTCAGCCCTGCCTTACTGGGTGCAGGTCTCAGGCAGGGTCCCTCTCCAGCCCCTCTGGTCCAGCCCCGGTCCTCCGTCCCTGGAGGTGAGTGAGGCATCCTGGCACCCGATTGGCTGTCCTTGGCAGCCAGGCAGCTGACTGCCAGCAAGTTCATTTTTCTGGGCTGAGGTGCAGATTTCCACAGCTGGAGAGAGCCAGGGTAGGGTAGGGCTGGTGAGGGCCAGGGCGGGGGGGCTGCTGGGAGTTGGCCAGACTCCCCAGTATGACCGAATGGCCCCCTCTCCTTTGCACGCTCTGTCCTTTGTCCATCCCTGGGCTTAGCCAGGGAGGCACTGGGTGAGCTGCTCTGTACCTGGCCACCCTGGGCACCCAGGGGTGCAGCCAGGTCCCGAGAGCTATGTACACTCACCTTTGGGCCCAGAGTCAGTTCGGGGGGACAGCAGCATGGCAAGGGCTATGGTGGGGAACATGGGCTGTGGGGCCCAGAGAAGGTGCTTGGGATTCTCCTGTTCCCTGCCTCCCACAACACAGGCCCAAGAACCCCCATGGGGCTGTCCGAAGTGAGTATAGAACAGAAGTGTGGTTGGAGTTTGGAGGCTGAGCTTCACACCCAGAGCCAGTCTCCTCTGTGCAGAGTGGGGGAGTAAGTAATTTACCAGCCAGAGGCCCCAGAGGGTGGGAGGACATGGTGCCCAGAATTGAACCTGAGGCTTGAATTCCACTCTGCCATTCACTCAGATGAGGATGAGGGTGAGGAAGGAAATACAGCCTTAGGCATCAAGGCACCAGGAACCCTTCCTTGAACCTCAGTTTCCTCTTCTGTAAAGTGGGACCATGTCGCTGTGCCCCATGGAGTCCTGGCTGCAGGGTTGGGGGCAGGGGGAAGGAGGGTCCTTACAGGACTGATGCTGGTAGCCCGAGATGGGGAAGCCGCTGCTGTTGGGGACATTCAACCGCCGGGAGGCTGCCCGGCTGCACAGCTGCAGGCCTTTCCCAGAGGGTGGGTGGGTGCCAGGCCTGATCCACAGGCCTCAGCCACACTTTCTCTGGCACCTGCGGACTCAGGGCAGGCAGGCTGTCCACCTGCCAGGCGGGTTTGTGAGCAGCAGCCATTGCTGCCATCCCAAGGGCATGCCCCTCGGTGCTGGTGGGCAGGACCCCTGGCTCTGCTGTCAGACAGCCCTGAGCTCCAATCCTGCGTGTCCCTAGCTGCCGGCCCTCGGTGAGTGACTTAACCTCCTGAGTCCCAGCGTCCTCTACTGTCAAACGGGGTGACCATGCTGCTTGTGTGGGCTGCACAATCAGACTGTCTGGACTCAGCACACAGTAGGTGCTTAGTAAACAACAGTGAAACATGCTGAGGATGGCTGGTGAGCCCGAGGTCCCTTCAGGCAGAGCCACCCAGGAACCTCACCCCCTGCGTTGGCCACCACTGTCCGGAGTCAGCTGGGAAGAAGCAATCTGGAGGCGGGGCAGTGGGGAACTGCTTAAGTGCTTTCCTGCTTGGAAACTCCAGGGCCAAGAGGCCAGCAGGAGGCGCAGCCTGGAGATCACAGGTTGGGCTGATTCCACCCTGGGGTTCCCTGCGCAACGTGTGCAGGGGAGGCCTGGGAGCTCCGGCGGGGCTGCGCAGCCATCCGGCCGTGCTCCGAGATTGCTCTCAGGTTGCTCTCCAGCTCAGCGCTCGCGGTGCCTACAGAAGACACGTATCTACCCGCCAGGTTACAGCGACGGTCTCTGTCCTAGCAGTATACTGGCACTGATGCCCTGGCTGCGCAAGGTCGGGGAATCCACATTTTGTCCAGTTGATCTGGTGAAGCTGGGAAGGGCCACTTTGAACAGGACCACACCCTGGAAGGAGGAGTCTGTACCTGCCAGAACCTCCAGGGAAGACCCGCAGTCAGCGGGAGGGCGCGCTGCGGGTAGGCCACCTGGCCCGGGCTACAGCGCCCTCTGGTGGTCGCTGGCTCCCTGGAGCTGCAGCGTGCACGGACTCCGCAAGGACTCACGGGTTCTTCACCCACTTCCCTGGGGAATATTCCAGCAAAGAAATGCTGGAGGGCCATGTTGCAGAGTTCAGGGATTCAGAAATAACACAGCTAGATCTGTGTTTTTTTTTTTTAAAGGTGTTTTTATGGTTGATAGGTTCTTTGGGGTTTGTTTTTATTGTTTTGTTTTGTTTTGTTTTGGGGGGGGGCATAGGGCGTGTGCTCTCCAGAAAGGCAGTGAGAAGAAAACTGGGAAATCACCCCTTAGAAAGAGATGGCCACGCCGTAATCCCTTCTCCTCCTGAGATTGCACATGTGCCCGGTGTGATTTGCAAGCCTACAGGTCTAGGACTCGAAGTGCGGTCAGCCATGTAGGAGTCCAGCGCGTAACCACCACAGCACCTGCTGGCCCTCATGTTTTTTAAGAGGGTCAAATCCAGCCCTGTTCCCTGGTGTCCCTCCCAACAGTGCAGCCACATTTACCCAATGTGTTCCATATTACAGCGTAAAGAGAGAATAGGAGCTGGGAAGTCCTAACAGGAAATGAAGAAGCCTCCAACATGTGCCAGAATGGAAGCGCCGGCAGGCTGGAGGTTTGCCCTCTGCAGCTCACGTGACACCTGCCTCCTCCTCAGCCCCCTCTAGGCTGGGTGGGATCTCAGGCTTCCTCCTGCACCCAGGCTGTGCCCAGCAGGTGACCTCAGATGATTGCCCTGTGTGACGCTAGGAGCCAGAGGCTGGCTTGGGCTTCCTACGAACCCTGACCACCCTCCCAGGCTCCGTATGTCTCCTTGGGGTGGATGAATGGAGAGGTACGCAGCTGAAAACACAACACGAAGCCTGATTGCAAAGAAGGGACAAGGGGACACAGAAAGGCTCCCCAAGATGGGAGCCAAACCCCAGTCTGCCAGACCCCTGAGATTTGGGCCCCACCTGGGTCTCATCACCTGATCGACTCCACCCTGACAGTCACTGTTGCAGAGTTATGTTGTCGGAACTATAACACCTGTTCCCAAATCAGGCTTCCTAAGTGAGCTTTCAAAGACCCCTATTCCTTCTCTTCCCCAGCTGGAAAATACATACTCCAAAGGCCCTGGCATTCACTGCTTGGTCCACACGAAGCGCTGGGCAAAGCCAAAGCCCAAAGTTTTGGGGGAAGGTAGTTTTCCTTTTTCTTCTGAGGAAGGAGTGTGCTTTCTGCTGACCTCACCTGGGAGGGCAACTGGGCCGTGCTGGGCTGTTCCCCAGTTCATAGATTCCTCTGTGGAACAGGGGCCTACTTGTGCCAGGAGCTTGACAGTCCTCACCTGGAGCCAGCAAGTAGCTTGGAGAGGCCTTGACAACACTTGGGATGGCGAGCATTGAATGGGCTGGCACCTGCTGCAACTGCCCAGCTCCCAAA